CTTCATGTTTCTACCTACTTCTTCCGACCGATGGGTAAGGAACGCTGGTAAGCCACTCCCCGGAGGGGAAGGTTGGAAGAGGAAGCGATCTAAGCCACCTGCGTTCAGAGGGATGGCGAGACTTCGGGGGGTCCGAGCGGAGGACCACCTGGACAAACGCTTCTCTAGGCGACTACAAGGAGCTTATCGTGGTTTCATGTTTGTGGATGTCGGCGTCCTTGTCGCTAGCAGGAATACCGATACAGCCGTTTGCAGCCAAATTGCTGAGGGCAGAATGCAGAACAGTTTCCCGCTCGGGAATTGATGGGAAATGTCGGGCTGACTGTCAGGGACGTCCCTCATTTTCGGATCCAGGGCCCCACCCGCGGAAACACGCACGTATGGTCTTTGTGTGCTCAAGGTCGTCAGCTGGGCGCGGGGACCACAGGAGAGGGTGCTGCTGAGGCAGGCCGACCGCAAGGCGCTCAAGAGCGCCGCGCCGGACGTGCCCGGCGACGCGGACGACGCGTGCCGAGCGCTGGCGCTCTTCTCCGTCATGGACGCGCTTGTCGCGGAGGTCGCAGAGTTGGCGGAAGACATGCTGCTGCCCCTCACGTACAAGGCCAGAGGAGGAGAGAACACACCGATACCGATACCGGTACCCCATCCCTCGTCGCCACGGCTGGATTCGCCTTGAAATCTTGATCAGGACGCACCCCAGGAGGGGTCCGTGGACTGGCGGTACCGGTACCGCTCTGCTCTCCCACGAGGACCTCGCGTCCTGCCTGGGTGCCTCGCGGCTGTGTGCGCAGCGGCTGGCGGCGCAGAACAAGCCGACTGGGGCAAAGCGCAAGGCGGGCGGAGCTTCCGCTCAGAAGGTCCGAGAGCTTCTCCTCCCCCGCCTCCTCTTCACTGTCAGGGAAGGGGGAAGGCCACGGACAAAGCAGAAGATCTGCGGGAGCTCCGGAGTCCCCAACGAACGAGTGCGCAGGTTCGAGGGCTGTGTGGCATGCTTCGTTCATGGCCTCCCTGAGCTTCTGAGCCGTGTGACGCCAACTGTACACCTATTACGCCAATCCTGGGCGGGCCAACCGTTACCCCACCATCAGCGCATACGCCCTCCAGGCCTAGCCATGAGGGCGTATCCACCCTTCCAGGACCCAGAGTCGGGCTGGCCAAGATCGGTGCGCACGGAAGCTGGATGCACACGACGTGGCCGGCCGATGCAAGAGCCGGAAACCCATGAGGCCGCACGTCTCTCCAGCGCTTGGTACCAAGGTGCGTCGGCGCTCCGCCTGTGCGGCCAGCAAGTGGCCTCCGCCTGTTCTGCATGCGGATCCAGCCCCGCGTAAGACTTCCAGTGTCTGCGCGTGCGTCCATGTCTCCAGCCTCCTAGCAAGTGAGTAATCAGTTGGCGTCCTCCCGTCGTGGCCTTCTTGTGCTCCCTGTAGGTGTTGCAGGGCCACACGTGGTGGTGGTTCGAGGTGTCGACCGCGGCGCTGGGATTCCTCGGGGCGGCCGTCGCTCCCGCGGGCGAGCGCTCCGAGACCTCCAAGGCCGCGGCGCGTCTGCTCCTGCGTCCGGCAGCGGCATCCGTGCACCGTCGCGAGACCTGGTCAGGCCCATGCCGAGCCCTAGATCAGTTTCAGGAGGCCGCCGGCCCAGGCCAGGGTGGTACATGTGTATATCTGTATATAATGTATATACATGTATGTATGTATGTCTATACATGTATGTATGTATGTATGTATGTATGTATGTATGTATGTATGGATGGATGGATGGATGGATGGATGGATGGATGGATGTATGTATGGAAACATTGATGTCTGTCTGTCTGTCTGTCTGTCTGTCCGTCCGTCCGTCTGTCTGTCTGTCTGTCTGTCTGTCATGCATGTACGGATGGATGAGTGGATGGATGCATGTATGGATTCATGCATGCATGCATGTATGTATGTGCACGTGTGTGTATGTATGTATGTATGTATGTATGTATGTATGTATGTATGTATGTATGTATGTATGTATGTATGTATGTATGTATGTATGTATGTATGTGTGTGTAGGTATGTATGTATGTATGTGTATGTGTGTATGTATGTATGTATGTATGTATGTATGTATGGATGGATGGATGGATGTATGTATGTATGTATGCATGCATGCATGCATGCATGCATGCATGCATGCATGCATGCATGCATGTATGTGTGTTTGTGTGTGTGTGTGTGTTTGTATGTTTGCATGTGTGTATGTATGCATGTATGGATGGATGGATGGATGGATGGATGGATGTATGCATGTATGTATGTATGTAGGTAGGTAGGTAGGTAGGTAGGTAGGTATGGATGTATGTATGTGTGTATGCATATATGTATATGGGTGTGTGCATACGTATGCATATGTGTATGCATATGTGCATGTATATGTTCACATCTATGTATATATGTATGTACATGTATACATATGTATACGTATATGTATGTACATGTATGTGCTTATATGCCCTGATCCAGGGCCCTGGACACGCCTGGGCAGGTTTGGTGGTCAAGCGAGGGCCTGGGGGACTGGGAGCCGAGCGTGGATGAAGAAGGATTATGCAGGCCAGGTAATGACCGAAGCGCAGCTCGCTGCCAATCTCGCTTGGGGAGGGGGGGAGGGAGGATCGAGGCGTGATGAGAAGGGAGGGAGGAGGAGGAATCCTGGAGGATGAGCAACAGGGAGGGGGGAGGGGGGAGAGCGACAGGCAACCGCTGGTACGCCTCCGAGCCAAAGCGCGGGCTCAGGCGCGTGCTGCGCAGCAGCAGCCATGATCAGGCTATTGGCCTTGTCGTACGTAGTCGTCGTGGCCGCAATTCCTTAGGCATCCTAATCCAGTGGATCAGAATCTCCCCCACCTGGCCCCACCGCGGGTACACAACCGAATCGAGCAAGCAGACATCGGGGAGGAGGAGGAGGGGGAGGAGGAGGAGGAGGAGGAGGAGGAGGAGGAGGAGGAGGAGGAGGAGAGGAGGAAGAGGGGGGAGGAGGAATGAGGGAGGAGTGATGGAGGAGGAGGAAGAGGGAGGGAGGAGGAACGAGGGGGGAGGAGGAGGAGGAGGAGGAGGAGGAGGAGGAGGAGGAGGAGGAGGAGGAAGGAGGAACGAGGAGGAGGAGGAGGAGGAGGCAGGAGGAGGAGGAAGAGGAGGAGGAAGCGAGGAGGAGGAGGGAGGAGGAGGAGGACGACGAGGAAGAGGTGGAGGAGGAGGAAGAGGAGGAACGAGGAAGGAGGAGGAAGAGGAGAGGAGGTGGAGGTGGAGGTGGAGAGGTGGTGGTGGAGCAGCAGGAGGAGGAGGTGGAGGAGGAGGAGGAGGAGGACGAGGGAGGGAGGAGGAACGGGCAGGAGGAGCGAGCGAGGAGGAGCGAGGAGTAAGGGAGAGAGGAGGAAGGAGGGAGGAGGAAGGACGGAGGGAGGAGGAAGGAGAGAGGAGGAAGGAGGGAGGAGGAAGGAGGGAGGAGGGAGGCGGAAGGAGGAGGGAAGACAGGAGCAGGAGCATGGCCGAGGAGGGTGAAGAAGATGATGATGCGAAGGGCAAGGTGGCATGGGTGAGGAGGGCAAGCGAGAGAAGGGAGTGGGGAGGCTGGCGAGGAGGAGGAAATCGAGGAGGAGGAGGAGGAGGGCGAAAAGGAGGGAGTGGGGAGGAGGGGGTGGGGTGGGCACAGAGGAGGGAGTGGGGACGATGCTGGATGTGTGAGAAGGGAGCGGAGAGGAGTGCGAAGAGGAGGAGGAAGAGGTGGTGGACGATGGCGATGCTGATGACGATGATGCTGTTGTTGCTGTTGGCGATGATGATGCTGATACTGGTGGTGATGATGCTGATGATGATGCTGATGCTGCTGCTGATGGTGGTGGTGGTAATGATGATGTTGTTGATGATGATGTTGATGATGATACTGATTATGATGATGCTGCTGCTGCTGATGATAATGATGACGATGATGATGGTGGGGATGATGATTAAGATGATGACGATGAGGATGCTGATGAGGAGGAGGAGGTGGAGGAGGAGGAGGAAGTTGAGTATGGGGGTGACGATGATGCTGCTGATGATGATGGTGATAGTTGTGGCGGTGGCGGTGATGGTGATGCTGTTGCTGTTGATGGTGATGCTGATGTGTTGGTGATGACGATGTTGTTGCTGATGCTTGGGATGATGTTGATACTGTTGGTGATGATGCTGGTAATGATGATGCCGCTCATGTCGATGCTGTTGATGATGCTGCCACTGATGGTGTTGATGATGATGATGCTGATGATGATGATGATGGTGATGGTGATGCTGATGATGATGATGATGACGATGATGATGATGATGATGGTGATGGTGATGGTGAGGTTGATGATGATAATGATGAACATGATGATGGTGATGCTGATGCTGATGTTGCTGCTGCTGACGCGGATGACGACGACGACGACTATGATGATGCCCGTGATGGTGCTGGTGAGAATGGTAATGGTAATGATAATGATATTGATGATGACGATGACAACGATGATGATGCTGCTAATGCTGATGCTGATGGCGATGCTGGTGGTGATGGTTGTGATTATGATGGTGACAATGACGACGACGATGATTATGATAATGATGATGATGACGATGACGACGATGACGATGACGATGACGATGACGATGACAACGACGATGACGATGATGATGCTGATGTTGATGATGCTGTTTATGCTGATGGTGATGATGACGATGATGATGCTGATGATGATGATATTGATGCTGATGATGACCATGATGATGATGACGATGATGCTGACGACGATGATGATCAGGATGATGATGATGATGGTGTTGATGATGACGATGATGATGATGATGATGATTATGAAGAAGATGCTGATGATGATGATGATGATGATGATGGTGATGGTGATGGTGATGGTGATGATGATGATGATGATGGTGATGATGATTATGATGAGGATGAGGATGATGATGATGATGATGATGATGCTGATGATGACG